TCTCCTTTTTGATTCTCTTATCCATTCCTCCCATGTCCACCCCAGCAACAACTAAAATGAAGCCACTATCCTGACCCACACATTCCCGAAAGCCCCTGTGAGAATTGAGCCAATCCCAGGAAACCCCACGAAGCCAGAAAGGTTAGGATCAGTTTTGAGGTTGCTCCAGAGCAGGATTGTCTGTGGCTTTCCGTGTTATCGGGGATGGTGCTGAGTTAGTTCCCTGGGGCACCCTTGTCCTGTGCTGCTCCCCCACTGCCGCTCAGCAGCTCCTCCTTTCCCCTTTAGTCTTGCTGGAATGAGTATCTGACAACTCGGATTGAGCAGAACCTTGTGTTGAACTGCACCTGCCCCATTGCCGACTGCCGTGCGCAGCCCACTGGAGCCTTCATCCGGGCCATTGTCTCTTCGCCAGATGTCATCTCCAAGGTAGCCCCTTCCTGCAGGAGTCTATGGTGTGCAGCCAGAGGGGCAGGCCCCAGGGAGTGGACTCACCAATGCTGGGGGAGGCGAGAAGGGGTGGTGGTTATGGAGGGCGGGCATCTCAAAGAGCCATGCCCTCACCTTATGGCACCTTTGTCTATGTCCCCACAGTACGAGAAGGCTCTCCTGCGTGGCTATGTGGAGAGCTGCTCCAACCTGACCTGGTGCACCAACCCCCAGGGCTGTGACCGTATCTTGTGCCGCCAAGGCCTGGGCTGTGGGACCACCTGCTCCAAGTGTGGCTGGGCCTCCTGTTTCAACTGTAGTTTCCCTGAGGTGGGTACCTGTCCAGCCCTGCTCCCTTGTAGCAAGGGCTACACCCCTCCCTTGCCAGCACCCTTCTCTCCATATACATACCCACCCACCCACACACACACACATACACGTATGCACTCTCGGACATACACATATATACACACTTTCTGCCTCTGCCACTTGGTTGAGCTCTGTTCCTCCTCCTGCAGCCCTCCACACGTGACCTCCCTCTCTTGCATACCCACAGTGCTGCCCTTGCCCAGGGCTCAGCCATGTCCTCACCACCCCCTCTGCTGTAGGCACACTACCCTGCCAGCTGTGGCCACATGTCCCAGTGGGTCGACGATGGTGGCTACTACGACGGTATGAGCGTGGAGGCTCAGAGCAAGCACCTAGCCAAACTCATCTCCAAGCGCTGTCCCAGCTGCCAGGCTCCCATTGAGAAGAACGAGGGGTGTCTGCAGTAAGAGGGGGTACTGCGGGCATTGGTGGGGTCAGAGGGCATGGGAGAGGGTGCAAGGCCTGGCCGTAGGGAGGGTCCATGGGGCTTACCGAAGAGCTAAGCAAAGGAGGGCACTTACTGAACTTCCCCTGCTTCAAAATCTGCACTGTATGGGGCTCAGAAGCAAGGGTGTGGTCACTAGGGATTGGTAAGGTTAAACAGACTGTCAGGGCCTGGAGGGGCCAGGACAGGTTCAGTGGAGCATCCAGGCCTCATCCAGGTGTCCTCGTGTGGCCCCAGCCAGAGGCAGGAGCCCTCTAACCAGCCACCTTCCTCCCATAGCATGACCTGTGCCAAATGCAACCACGGATTTTGCTGGCGCTGCCTCAAGTCCTGGAAGCCAAATCACAAAGACTACTACAATTGCTCTGCCATGGTAAGGGTCCGGGAGGCCCAAGGGCAGCCAGGATGGGATGCTGTTCTAGGCCCTGGGCAGAGAGGGCTCTGTGTCCTGAGCAGCCAAACAGCTGCTGGGATAGGGGCTCAGTGTGAAGACAGAAGCCACTTGAGCCTACAGGTGCCGGGACTTCTGTCCTGGGAGGTCTCTACATTCTCAGGAGGCACCAGGCCAGAGCAAGAGCACATGGTATGCATCCTAGCCTGGCACCACTGCTTAGTATGTGGCTTTGGGCCAGTTTACTTGCCTACGCCTCGGCAGCCTCACCTGTATAAAGGGAGAATAATGTGACCTACTTCACAGTCAGGATTAAATGAAAAGGTCTGGGTAAAGTGTTGGAAGGCCTGCATGCAGAGCACCTAGTGTATTAATGCTGTCCTGCCCAGCAAGGCACCCAAGAGCCCTCCCGACTTGTCCTTTCCAGGTAAGCAAAGCAGCTCGCCAGGAGAAGCGGTTTCAGGACTATAATGAGAGGTGTACTTTCCATCACCAGGCCCGGGTGAGCAGGGAGGAAATGGTTGCTTGGGTGCGGAGGTCAGAGGGCTGGGGTGGATGGCCGCGCACGGGTGAAAGATCTGAGTTTGGGTGGGTGCTGTGCCGTTGTGAGTGGGGGGGGGAAGGGCTGCATGCGGTGCTGACCCCCCACTCCCACCGGCTCCACATAGGAGTTCGCCGTGAGCCTCCGGAACCGCGTGTCTGCCATCCACGAGGTGCCACCACCCAAATCCTTCGCCTTTCTCAGTGACGCCTGCCGGGGACTAGAGCAGGCACGCAAGGTGACAGTGGGCTGGGGGCCTGTGCTGCTTTCCTCCAAGCTGCGGGCATGGGGCGAATGAGGGAGCAGGAGGGAGGAGTGCGGAGGCCCAGCAACTTGGGCTCCCACAGGTGCTGGCCTATGCCTGCGTGTACAGCTTCTACAACCAGGACACGGAGCACATGGACGTGGTGGAGCAGCAGACCGAGAACCTGGAGCTGCACACCAATGCCCTGCAGATCCTCCTGGGTGAGGCCTGGCCCCTTGCCTGTCAGTCCTTTCTCTTGCCTACCCACCCACTCAGCATCCCATCCCAGCAAGCAGGGGGCAAGACAGCACCCCCACCCCAGCTCCCCCTGCACTGTCCTCATTCTGCACAGCTCTATTACTATTGGCCTTTAACCATTCATGTATGAAGGAACATGGTATATGCCAGAAGGTGCCTAAGGGCACAGGCCTTCACCTGACCTGTTTGATTTACCCCATCCCCTCCTCCGTTAGGATGTAGTCCCCATGAGAATGAAGATCTAGAACCATGCCTGGTAGGTGTTGGTAGAACTTGGTAGATGTTCAGTAGGTGTTTGTTGGAAAGAATGAAAGAAGGGAGGAAGCCCCTGTGCCCTGCCCCCTCTGCAGAGGAGACACTGCTGCGGTGCCGAGACCTGGCCTCCTCCCTGCGCCTCCTGCGTGCCGACTGCCTCAGCACGGGCCTGGAGCTGCTCCGGAGGATCCAGGAGAGACTGCTGGCTATCCTGCAGCATTCTACCCAGGTGCGCCGCCCACCCCTGGGCCTCCTGGGCCTGGCATGGCCCCTGCCCTGGGCGGAGGATCCAAAAGGAAAGGCAGCAAGGATGGAATGGGTGTTTGGAGACCTGGGTGTGCACCCCAGCTCCTAGGCCAGCCTGCTGGATGCGGTGGAGCTCTGCCACTTGGCCACCTGACAAAATCGCCAGATCAAGGGTATCTGCCCAGAGCCTTGCTCATCAGAATCACTTGGGGGAACTTTTTCATACTTCCCAACTGGGAAGTTGAGTTTTTCCCAGCTCTAGGACACTGATAGTGTGCCTAAACTATGAGAGTCCTGCCCTCAGGGAGCTCACAGAGGAGTAAATAACTGGGGCAGACGGGCAGAACCTTACCTCAGGCAGCCTCCAGGGACACAGGTGTGGCGGTGAGGCATGCCACCCTCCCCTGCCTCCGGAGGAGTAAATAACTGGGGCAGACAGGGGCAGAACGCAGTTAGCTCCGGAGGCAGGGGAGGGTGGCATGCCTCACCGCCACACCTGTGTCCCTGGAGGCTGCCTGAGGTAAGGTGCACGGAGGCACAGGTGTGTGGAGTCCTGGGATGAGGGAGGGGAGGAGGCGGGAACATAACTGCCAGGGGCCCTGCACCTAGTCGGCCCTCAGAGAAGGCTGGGTGAAGGAATGCTGGACACCTCTGCCCATATCAGCTACTCTCCTCCTTCCCACATCTCCTTGCCAGGACTTCCGGGTTGGCCTGCAGAGCCCACCTTTAGAGGCCCGAGAGGCGAAAGGCTCCAACGTGCCCGGCAGCCAGTGAGTAGGGTGGTGGAGCCACTGTGGGGTGTGGGAGGTGCCAGGCCTCCCTGAGGCTGAGTGGGGCTCCCTCCCTCCCTAGGTCCCAGGGCTCCTCTGGGCTGGAGGTGGATGAGGAGGAGGAGGAAGATGATGAGGATGATGTGCCCGAGTGGCAGCAGGACGAGTTTGATGAGGAGTTGGACAATGACAGCTTTTCCTATGATGAGGAGTCTGAGAACCTGGACCGAGACACTTTCTTCTTTGGTGACGAGGATGATGATGATGAGGCCTACGACTGAGGGGCAGGACACAGGGAGCACCCCAGCCACCCCGAGTCCGGGGGGCCAAGGGGGTGAGGTCACTGGGTCATTGGGGGAGGCAATTCCCAGTGTCTGCAGTACCTTCTGTTTACTGAATAAACTTTCTTTTTTCACATACTTCTCTGGAAGCAGGCTGCTCAGCTGCATCCCCCAAGGCTAGCATCAACTTCCCATTCCCTCTACATAGCCCCAGTACTCATTCTTCACTTTTTCCCTTTTTTTTTTTTAAGATTTTTTTTTATTCATTCATGAGAGACACAGAGAAAGAGGCAGAGACACAGGTAGAGGGAGAAGCAGGCTCCACGCAGGGAGCCCACATGGGACTGGATCCCAGGATCCTGGGATCACGACCTGAGCCAAAGGCAGGTGCTCAACCACTGAGCCACCCAGGTGCCTCTTCACTTTTTCCTTAGACCTCTAGACTCTTGTGTTCTCAGAGAAGGCCCAGAGCAGACCCGTCTGACCTAAGCTGACAAAGGGAAATGCAGGTGCATGTGGCCCAGGCCAGGCATAGTCCTGCCCGCTTGCCCCAGACCCGGCCCAGCATCAGAGGAGACAGAAATGGCCACCCCCCTGCCCCCAGGCAGCCTTCCTCCTAACTCTTGAATGTTCCTGGCAGGAGTCTGAGGGCATTAGGAAGGCCTTGGAGGCCTACAGAACGCTAAAGGGTCTCTCTGCATCTTGAAGTAAAGCAGGAAAAGCAAGGATATTCCTGAAGACCTGTCCCGCCCACCACTCGTAGAGACATGGTCAGAATTTTAAACATCCTTTTAATTTGGTACTGGGGCTATGAGGTAGGAAGGGTACTAAGAGTCTGGGATTAGAAGAGTTAACAAAGTGGGGCTAAGGCAAGCAGTTGGGTCAGGGGAGGCAGCCACCTGCTAGGGAGGGTCAGCCCCAAAGTATTGATCCAGCATGGCCTCCACCTGGCCCTCTTCATAGTCCAACACCTGGAACCTTGAGCCGTCTGCCGCTCCCCGGATCATGGCTGAAAGCACTGCAAGGGCGGAGAAGGCGAAGGTGCTTTCCATCCATACTCCCCATCTCCACTTCCTTCCCTGTCCTGTTTGGAGGTGGGCACTATACTCAAGAGCCCCCACCCCTGCCCTGGGAAGTTGCTGAGGGCTGGGTCTGCAGAAAGCTGCGGTGGAAGGAGGGGCCATCCAGGGCTTGGAGTGCTCACCTCGGCCAGACTGCGGACGGAAGAGGCACAAGATCCGCTTATTGAGGGCCACGGCCTGGCCCAGCTCATAGCCCACACCCAACGATGGCTGGGTCACTTCTGCCACCACCACTGGGAAGAAGGAAGAGACCATGGCTCAGTATCTGGGGCTTGTTAAGGAAGAGATGACAAGAGGTGGGGTGTGGTGAGGAGGGCACTTCCCTTCCCGGGATGGACTTCGTCCAGGGACTCTAGTATAGTGCCAAACTCCCAGAGGAGTTTGTGGGTAGGAGGGGGAGCTGCTCACCATCTGCCTGCTGCAGCCAAGCCAGGTCCCGCTCGTAGATGAGCCTGTCACCCCCAGCAGCCTCTTCCCCTGCGGAGGAGAAAAAGCTGGTCAAGGCCAAGCCCCTGCTTCGGCCTTAGCACTCAGTACCTCTCTTCTGCCCTCGCCACCCCCATATTTACCCTGCTCAGGGAAGGAGGGAGGGAGGCATGCTAGATGACTTCCAAGGACCCACCCAAGGCTAATGTTCCAGGAAAAGGATGGAAAAGGATGAAATGGAATCACCACAAAAAAAATTCCAGGATCCAGGAGGCTTCTGTGATTAAGGCCAGATGAGTGATAACAGATGAGATTATGGGAAGGACTAACTATGCCTGTCTGTTGGTGAGGGATCAGAGACGGAGGGGAGCAGCGATAGACTCCCAGTGCGTGCGTGGGGGCGGGGGGGTGGTGGTGGTGGAAATGACCAGGAGCAAGAGGATGCCTGCACAAAGAAAGGATGAACAACCAGAGCCGGGGTGGCTCTCAAGCTTTGGTGGGTGCCAGCGTCAGGGAGAGCTTGATATGCTACTCCATGAGCTCTCCAGGGGATTGTGAGCCCCACAGGCCCTTTCCAACGCCCTAGCAATTTTGTTTTGTGATGTCACCTGATGAGGGAGCCAAAGGCCAGCTAAGGACTAAGCACAAGCTGACATTTTGCAACCCCCCCCCCCCCAGGTGGGGTATGTGGGACATTCCTCAGGCACTCCTGGCCACCCTAAAACTCAGGGAAGGGGAAAAACAGTTAACTAATATAGATCACAGTGCTCTAGGACATGAGCCTCCATCGGCTTACCAATGTCTTAATGATTTACAAGAAAAAAAGCATTCTCAATAACCTGACTTCCAGAGAACCCTAACTCAATTTTCTGGAGCCCTGACATCACCCTCCCTCCACAGTGACGTGGGAAACAAAGGTAGAAGGAAATGTAGGTAAAATTTAAATGTCCTTATAACCTGCAGCCCATTAGCAAATACTTGAGACAGGAAGAGTGTAACGTTCCTCCAGAAACTCAACGGTCGTAATGTTAATTAATGCTTTGCTAGAGAGAACCTTAGCTAGACAATGGCAAGACCTCCAGTATTTTGAGAATCTTTAGCATATCAAAGTTTCTTGGACACCTTCCTTTTTCCTTACCTCCCCCCAACTCCCAAGTATGAAATCAAGCCCAGTGCAGCAGCTCTTTCTGCCCAAAGGTCCTGTCCCTGCGCTTTTAATAGAATCACCTTTTTGCACCAAAGACATTTCAAGAATTTTTTTTTTTTGGCAGAGAGTGCTGGACCCCGGCCTCACCAGCATCCCCAAAATGTCTCCCAGAATTGCATTAGATCCCACAAATCCTGGATCTGCTCCTGCTGGGGCTAGGGGAAAGCACGTAAAAGTTTCCTTTCAAACCAGAAGACTCCCGGAGATTCCAGAGCAAAACTGATCAAAGCTAATGGTCTTTGATCAGTTTTGGTCAAAGACAAAGATCATTTAAACTGATCTCAATCAAATGCTTTAGAAAGACCCAGCAGCCAGAAAGCAACAGGCTGATGAGAGGGCGTGAGAGATGGTGGTGGTGAAAACTGGGGTCCGACGGGTCTAACAGAGGGCGGACAACCCGACCGCGAGGGGAGAAGCGGCAGGGTAAGCTCTGCCTTAGGTGGGGGCGCAGGTGCCTGCGGGCAAGGCGGGAACTGAAGCCGCCGCATTCGCTCCCGTTCTGCTCCTCCCCGCTCCGTCCCCGGAAAGAGGTGCAGAAAGTTCTCCGGGAAAGAATCAAGGTTAAGAGAACAGCTGAAGGCAGAGGCCCGGCTCCCACCCGCAAGCTCACTGGGGCCCTCGCGGTTCGAGCGCCGGCTCCCCTTCCCGGCCTGGCGGGAAGGCGGGCTCCGGGCCACGGGGATGCGCGGCCGGGTGCCGGGCGGCGTGCGGTCTCCGCAGCGGGGCTGCCCCGGCCCCCCTCCGGCCCCCCCGGCCCCCCCCGCCGGCCCCGCGCGCCCCGCCACCAGCCTCACCGCGCGCGCCCAGCTCGGCGGCCGCCACGTGCTCCGTGAGCACCGCCCCGAAGCGCCGCAGCCGCGACACGATCCTCCCGTACAGCGCCCGGTCCTCGCGGCCGCCGCGGATGCTCCCGCAGAAGTACAGCGCTCGGCGGCCCGGCTGGCCCGGCCGGCCCGGCTGGCCCTGCTCCCCGCGCTCCCGCGCTCCGGCCGCCGCCGCCGCCGCCATCCCCGCCGCCGCCGCCCCTCCTCCCCGCGCCAGGAGGCGCCCTCTCGCGGCCACGTGACCCGGCCGCCCCGGGACGGCCCCGGGGAGGCGGCAGGCGGCTCCCGCGGGAGGGGGCGAGCGGACGCCGACGACCGCGCGGCCGGGACCCCACCTCCTCCGCGACGTGGGCGCTACCGCTGGTCGCGCCACAGCACCCGCTCGTGCTCGCCTCGGCCCGGGGCCTCCCGCATCTCAGCTGGACGCAAGGGCATCCTCTGCTGACTTAGCTCCCTCGCCCCACCTCCAGCTGCTCTCCCTTTTCTGCAGCCTCGCTGGCTTTCCCGGCTGTTGTCAAGCCTGCTGGCCAGGCCCTTACGTTTGCTGTAGCTTGGAGCCCTTTTCTCCCAGGTAGCTCCGAGCGGCCCTCCCTCGCCTCTTCCGGGGCCTCCCGGGTCACCCTCCCCGGCTTTCCTCTACAGCTCGGCGAGCCTCCCGTTGCCAGGACTCTCTCTTGCCCTCCCCTGCCTCACCCTTTGTCCTCCCTACCCCATTGATTAATTCTGTTGTTTGTCTTTCTTTACCCGGTGGAATGTAAGCCCCCAGGAGGGCAGGAACTTTTGTCTGCTTTGTTCACTGCTGTAGCCCTAGCTTCTAAAACTGCCTGGCACATACTTATCAAACACTTGTTGAATGCATGAATGGATTCGGATGAGAAGTGACGTTTGCCAGCACTTTGTAATCTGCTCAGTCCTAGAGGAGGCTGATAGAAGCAGGATCTTCAGGGAGGCTGGCAAACACACCATTGTTCGCTGGTAATAACAAGGATTTTCCCTTCCTTATGTTAGAAAAATAACACAGACATAGGACAAAAAAATCAGATGGAGCAAAAGAGTACTCAGTGGAAAGTGAGTCCAGACCCCAATCCCATTCCTTAGAGGAAAGCACTCTCATGCTTCCTTCCGAATTCTTCCTCAATGGTAACTATAAAATACTGAAGTATGAGGTTACAAAGCTGACAAAATAATAATTTTTTTAAAGATTTTTTTACTTATTTATTCATGAGAGACACACATAGAGAGGCATAGAGAGGCAGAGACACAGGCAGAGGGAGAAGCAGACTCCATGCAAGGAGCCCGACATGGGACTCAATCCCGGGTCTCCAGGATCACAGCCTGGGCTGAAGGCGGCACAAACCGCTGAGCCACCCGGGCTCCCTTTTTTTTTCTTTTTTTTTTTTTTTAATTTTTTTTTTTTTTTTTTTATTTATGATAGTCACACAGAGAGAGAGAGAGGCAGAGACACAGGCAGAGGGAGAAGCAGGCTCCATGCACCGGGAGCCCGACGTGGGATTCGATCCCGGGTCTCCAGGATCGCGCCCTGGGCCAAAGGCAGGCGCCAAACCGCTGCGCCACCCAGGGATCCCTCCCTTTTTTTTTCTTTTTAGAGAGAGAGCATTTGTGAGTCTGGGGTGGAGGGAGAGGGAGAGAGAGACTCTTAAGGATGCTCTAAGCCCAGCACAGGGCCTGATGAGGGGCTCCATCTTACAACCCTGAGATCATGACCTGAGCCAAAGTTAAGTCCAACCCTTAACTTACTGAGCTGCCCAGGTGCCCCGTAATTTCACTTATTTTTTTTTAAGATTTATTTATTTATTTTGGTGGGAGGGGCAGATGGAGACGGAGAGAGAGACTCAACCAGGCCTTGTGCTCAGCACAGGGCCTGACGTGGGCTTGATCTCACAACCCTGAGATCCTGACCTCAGTGGAAATCAGGAGTCTGATACTTAACCAAGTCACCCAGACGCTCCACCCATAATTTTATTTAAATGATCTGCTTTCTGTCTCTCCAAATAGGGTTTTTCTGGACATTTCAACTTTCTTTTTTTTTTTTTTTGACATTTCAACTTTCACAAAATATTAAATTTTACACTTAAAATTAATGTATTGATATGTAAATTATACTTTATAGAGCTGGGTTTGTTTGTTTTTTTAAGATTTTATTTATTTATTCATGAGACACACACACACACACAGAGGCAGAGTCACAGGCAGAGGGAGAAGCAGGCTCCATGCAGGGAGTCCCATGTGAGACTCCATCCCGGGTCTCCAGGATGATGCCCTGGGCTGAAGGTGGCGCTAAACTGCTGAGCCACCCGGGCTGCCCTAGAACTGTTTTTTAAAAAGCAAAAGGAAAGCAGGGGAAATAATAATATAATATAATGAGACTCAACAATTAGCAATTAATGGCCAATCTGATTTCATCTATGTACCCATGTCCAATTTTATTCCTCTACTGTTTTGATGCAAGTTCAAGATTGTATTTTTTTAGTCAATATTTTAGTATGTGCCTTTAATAGATACTCATTTTTATTTTATTATTTTTTAAATATGTATGTATGTATGTATTTATTTGAGAGAGAGAGAGTGAGTGGGAGGGAGGGAGAAGGAGAGAGAATCCAAAGCCAACTCCCCACTGAGCCTGACATGGGGCTTGATCTCACAACCCCGATATCACGACCTGAGCTGAAACCAAGAGTGGGACACTTAAAAAGTGAGCAACGCAGGCACCCCAAGATAGTCTTTTTTTTTTCAGATGTAACCAAAATGCCATCATCTCAGCTAAAATATTTAACAATACGTCATCAAGTATTCTCCCACTGTTCAAATCTCCAGTTGTCTTAGAAATGTTTTAATTAGGCAGCCCCTGTGGCTCAGCGGTTTAGCACCGCCTGCAGCCTGTGGTGTGATCCTGGAGACCCGGGATTGAGTCCCACGTTGGGCTCCCTGAGTGGAGCCTGCTTCTCCCTCTGCCTGTGTTTCTGCGCCTCTCTCTGTGTCTCTTATGAATGAATAAATAAAATCTTTTAAAAAAATGTTTTAATGTTTGTGTACAGTTTATTTGCTTAAAAGCAAAAGCCACATAAAATCCATATGCTGTGATTGGTTGATAAGTCTTTTGAGAATATTTTAATCAATATGTTGCCTCTGCATATTGTCTCTCCCAAGTCATTTTTGACTTGTTTGTTCTCTCGCATTTCCTATAGTCTGGAGTTTACTGATTATATCCCTGTGGTGTCATGTAAAGTGTTCTTCTGTCCTATAAATTGGAGTTGGAGCTAGAGACTTGAATTCAGATTCTATTTTGGGCAAGACTGCTTCACAAGGTGGTGGTATGTATTCCCACTGTGGGGCATATGGTGTCTGGATGTCTCTCTTTTTTGATGTTAGCAACCGTTGATGCTCAGTGCCCTCATCCACTCACTCACTCACTCACTCACTCACTCATTCATTCATTCATTCATTCATTCACAGGACATACCAATAAAAATGTTTTTATAATAAAATAAAATCCACCTGCAGCAAACCACTTCAAAGCAAATTAATTATTATATGACATTCTTGTAACCACTACCATGTCAAGAAATAGATCTTCAGGCACCCAGAAGTTTCCACATGCTCCATCCCAGTCACAGCCTCCTTATTCCTTCCAAAAGTAACCACTGCCCTTACTTTTATAGTAAGGACAAAAAACAGGCATAAATAAACTTCTTTATGTTTCTTTATGGTTTTATCACCCAAATGTGCCTTCCTAGTCACATAGTTTAAGCTGATTCATTTTAAATTATGTTTTTAAAGTCTCTTTTAATCTACAGCTTTAAGGATACATTTTTTTTTCTTTTTTTGAAGCATTTGTTTTGTGTGAGACACTCAATGGATGATAAAAGAACTACAAAAAGGAGTAAAGTCTGAGACTTTGGTCTCTGGTCTGGGGAAGGGCCAGCCTTGGCTCAAAAATAGAGGTCAATTTAATGCCAAGCAGCGATGTACAGTGTTGAGCAATTCAAAGAAAGCAGAAATCAAGCATGTGGAGGATCCCTTCCAATTTATCCTCACAGTCCTGTGAGTTAACACCCAGGTCAAACAAACACCTGCTTCTTCACAAAGGACTAGCAGGGACCAGGTTTACCTTTTTTTTTTTTAACGTTTTATTTATTTATTCATGAGAGATGCACAGAGAGGCAGAGACAGAGGCAGAGAGAGGCTCCCTACAGGAGCCCGAAGTGGGACTCGATCCTGGAACTCTAGGAGAACGTCCTGAGCTGAAGGCAGACGCTCAACTGTTGAGCCACCCAGGTGTCCCTACCCTTCCATGTTTTGTGTTCATTTGCTTTTCAAATGTGATACTTCTTCCCAGATATGTTGTAGAGAAGGCAGGGCTGAGGTTCTCTGCCCTAATATATGCTATATCCACCTTACCTCAGTACATTCCGAGTCCCCTCCCTCCCTCCCTTCCTTTTTCTTTTTTTTTCTTTTCTTTTCTTTCCACAAGCTTTCTGCCCAATGGGGATATGAACTCATGATGCTGAGATTAAGAGTCACATGCTCTGCTGACTGTACCAGCCAGGTGTCCCCTGAGTCTTATTTCCTCACCATCCCAGTGGCTAGGATGTTTCCTTGCTAGTGATATCACTTATGATGGGAATTTTGTGCAAGGAGGGAGCATCTGGACTCTTAGTTTGCTCTTCTATGTCAGGCATCTGTAGAAGCCAAAATGGGGAGTTCAGCCTTCGTGCTCAATTTTAAACTTTTTTCTTGTGAATGATTATTAATTTAAAAACTTATTACAAAATGTATCAAATATGAGTAAAGTTTGGGGAATGGTATATCATATATCCTTGTATCCACTATTCAGGATTATCAAATCTTAAAATTTTATATCTATTTCATATCTATCTATATATTATATAATATTTAGTATAAATATTGTCTATTATGTTTATTTATTTTTTAAGATTTTATTTATTTATTTATTCATGAGAGATACACAGAGAGTGAGAGAGAGGCAGAGGGAGAAGCAGGCTCTAGGCAGGGAGCCCGACGCGGGACTCGATCCCAGATCTCCAGGATCAGGCCCTGGGCTGAAGGCAGTGCTAAACCGCTGAGCCACCGGGGCTGCCCCTGTCTATTATGTTTATAATAGATATGTATGTATATAAAACCTATCTATAGTAGATAATCTATATCCAACAGATCTATTCCATCTAA